TTTTGAGGAGATGTAAGAAACTATATTACTCTAAAGTATTAGAGGATAATAAAAATAATATGAGAGGTACTTGGAATATATTAAATAAATTGATTAGAAACAGTTCCAGCAAGAGTAACTACCCTCAATATTTTATGGATAATGATACACCGGTTAATAGATTGGAGGATGTAGTAGATAAGTCATCACCTTGACAAGATCCTCCTACCACCTCTGAGCATCCTAACCCCTGAATTTAACCTCAGATCTGCTTTGGTAACTGTTCCCTTCAGGCCCACGTCAGATTCCTCTTGACAAGGTCAAAGCGCAAGAGGCCTGGAGAGACTGTTTGGTGCGCAAGATAGTAAGAACTTTACTCAGGGAGTGGGCAGGGGAGAGTTATAACCACAGAAAATGTTCTTTATTTGATCTACCTGCACATGCACAGTATGAGGTATATCATATTATATAATGATATTTTATAACTAGTTTGACTTTAAAACTTCTGCTTCTTGTATCATTAAGTAACAGATAAATACTCCATACTCTGGCTGGCTGTATCTGTTATGCTTGTAAAATACTAGATGAATGACTGCACACAGCTGCAAGAAATGATGGTACTTTCTAAAGCTGCACTTAGGATTATCTTGTCAAAATTTAAATATCAGGTTGTCTGTGATTACTCTCTCTTTATCAAAAGAATATATACTAGAGCTAAAATTAAACTGAAGTTAAAGCTGCCCTATGTAAACAAAGTGATGCTTACATTCAGTTACTCGCTAGAGTAGTGTAAATCCATCGGTAGTTCTCTCTCTCTCCACACACACACACACAGTATATGTGTGTATACATACACACACACACACACACACACACACATATATATATGACCCTTCCCCTCTGGTCACTTTGCAAGTCCTCTTCACGTCGCCTGGGATGTCTCAGAAAATGAATGGGGGCGAAATTTGCGTTTCGCACCACACAGCGCTCAGTGAGTCTTCGCTGCAATAACCTCTTCTTCGTGAAGGTTTTAATGCTCCGTTTTTGTTGAAACTCACTGATGTAAATGGGGTGGACATAAGGATAGACGCGCTTATTGAGGCAACACAATACAATTCAACAGCACCACAAACTGCATATTCCAAAAGATCATTTTAGAGAGGCATTTTAATCAATGCCTCTCTAAAACTGTTTAAACAAAAACTGAGCATTATCACCTTAAAGGATGCAGGATTTATTGCAGGACTGTTGTATTTGACCACAGCTAAATGTACCTAATAAAGTGGCAACTGAGCTTAAATCGTTAAACCCAGTACTATTTTCAATTTGTGGCACAAGTGAGCTTTTAATTAGTAAATGTGTCATTTCAGGACAGAACCCTTAGCAACTTTAAATGAACTCTTCTTGTGTCTTGCTTTGTTCAACCACAATGCCTGCAGGTTATTTAGAAACTATGAAAAGCACTGTTTATGACTGAAGTGCCCTTTGAGCTACATTAGTGTTAAAAGGGAACATCTTGAAATGTCATTTTTATCTAGTGTGTATTTTTCCAAAGGACAAATAAGGTCTCCTTAAACTGCTGCTCATAGCACTGATGGAAAATCTCATGATCTCTGTCTCTGAATAAGCCCTCATGCCGACTCTGCTACTAAAATCTAAAGCAAGCTCAGAAAATGATGTTTAACTTTTGCATACTAGTAAAAAGTTACACATGGTGTACCACCATGGAGAGTTGTAACTATACACATCTCTTCCGTTAAAACAAGTCATATTCAGACAGGGTTCAAGTGTTTGGAAAGAAAATAAGCTAAAGACCTGTGAGCTCTCTGTTCATAAATCTCTTGGAAAGAAAAACAAAAAATAACTTAAACTGGAGGCACTTAGTTTATGCAGGAGCAGGGGTCTATTTTAGACTGAAAGAGTCCTCAAGTCTGTATAATGTGAAATAATAAGTTAAATAAGTGCTCAACAGTCGTTTAAAAGGATGTGAGCGTCCAGTAAACTTTGTGGCTGTAACTGTCTGTGGTGTTTGGTTTTTGTGTTGTGAGAATATCCGTTTATTGCCTCCTCCAGTTTCTTATCAATTCTGAGCTAAGCATCAAAATGTTTAGTGTTTACAACAATTACTGCTTCCTGTGGATGTTGTGTGTGAGTTTTGCTTCTTTCTGTGTGTGTGTCAGACAGCACTGAAATGTAATGATGTCAAACCTGAATGTCTTGTGTTCTGTAACTATAAAGTACTGTAGATGAGACTGAATGCACTGCTGAGCACACGACTGTGTATGTGTGGGTTTAATGGCTCATGTAATTAAACATCTCATCCACTAAATATTGTGTCTGACCTGGTTTGTAACCTTTCCCTGCTCACACACACACACAGAGATTGTGGATGGGTTCCAGATGTGCAGAACACAGCCGAGTCTCAGTTATGTGTATGCTGGTCTTGAAGAGTGTTCCCTCCACTTGCTTTGGGTAAGACTGGTTTGGTCAGATCACAGTGTGAGTCAGATGCAGATGACACGTTGGCAGGAATGTCATTTCCCTCTATAATTGCCCATAATTCCCTAAATGTCCTGCTTGCTGTCTGTCAATGTCTCAATAATAAACAGTTAATCCATGTTTGCTACCAGACATCAGCCTTAACTGAGTTTATTCAACATAATGGATTAGTTGATTAATTAACCCTGTTTGGTTAATTGGATCATCTCTAGGTCATAGGAAGGAAGGAGCAGATGCATGTATGGAGTCGGAGAGCGTGCAGATTACAGTTAGTGGCGCTCTAGTGACATTAGAGGCCGACTATGATGTCTGTACTTACAACAGAGTCTTGGCAGGTTTGTGACAGAGATGGATGGATGCAACATAAACAATTTATCAATAACATGAAACACGACTTCCCACTTCTGATCTGCAATGGTTAAGTTAAATTTACTGTTTTGTGGCTGTTTACTGTTAGTAAATCCACAGCTGATGAGCTGGATAATGTATTTGGTTTTTCTTTCTTTTTTTACTGTGGGTTTATTATTATACTATAAAAGCCAAACTGGTTTCCAGATATTCTGTGTCCTCCTCAGTCATTCTGAAATTAGTCTGAGCTTTGAATAATCTCTAGGTCATAGGAAGGCAGGAGCAGATGCATGTACAGTATGGCGTCATAAAAATACCCCCTCCCACACACAAGTTGTTGATGAATAATAATACTTTCCACCTGCATATGGAAACCTGAGCTCTAGTTCTGAGAAATAATCTGCTAGTTAAATGAAAAACCAAACAAGGTAAATGAACACCAATGTCTTCTCATATTAGCTTGTAACTTCAGGTCTCCGAGAACAGCAGTCATTTTTTACTACTCCTTGTCAAAAAATACTCACTGAAGTGTACAAACCTGAGTAATTTCAGCTTTAAACAGCCTAACTATTAACCAAGAGATGATGATGTGAGCAACTGCTCTACCCTTCTCCCTGCAGCTGTCAGCTGATGCTGTCGAGGAACAGTAGCAGTAGTTCAAAGGTTAGAAAAGTAACTTTTGAGCAAGTCACTGTATCATCATGCACGCAGGAAGCTACAGCTGTGAGGGAAGTACCATAGACAAGTCAGAACACGATGCAGAGCAGCATGACGGCTGACTGCTTGTGAACTTTGTGATCTCTGATCTTATACTGTGGTAGATGTGAAAAACTAGTGTGAAGTTAAAAAGCATGTGCAGTTTCTTTACTTATCAGTCTAGTATGATTCTGCTTTTAAATTCATTATATTTTATGAGGCTATGTTTTAGCCCTAATATCAAGCTATAATTTTGATAATTCAAGACAGGAGTGGACGTCCTGCTTCCTGGCTTTTAGAAGACTCAAAACATGAGAAAAGCACAGCGTTATCATCTCCAAATGCAATTTCACAGTTGGGTGAAGCTCTCTCAACTGCCAGTCACAGCCCAGCACAGACAACATAACCCAGGAGGAAAGGGTTAAACCCCTTTCACTGCTGTGCTTCCTCAGCCCGACTGCAGATTTCTATTTGAAAATTAACACTCATGTCCTTCAACTTTTTTCCTGGCAGTGTCTTTTAAAACTGCTTAATTTGTCTGCATGGCTTTTCTCGTGAAAATTACATCCAGTCGTGTTGTCACGATATTTGAAACCGCCAGCACAAAGGCCGAAATCTGCTCTGTCTCATTTGGAAGGTTGCTCTTTATCCTCCTCAAAATTCAAAGAGGGGCTTTCCACTTGAGTGTCCTTGGACTGCAGACAATTATTGTAAATGGCTTGTTTGTACAAAAGACTAAAAAAATCCCACTGGGTAATAAAAGTGGGTTTTAGATATACAGTTGTCCAAGCTCATTTGTCTTCTTTGAAAACGCTATAGCCACAATAACCTCATTACTTAGTCTTTGTCCTTGGAAACGTTTCATTCTGTATAAGTGACACACACTTTTGTGCATACAAACAAATCTAATCTTTTGTCTAGGTGCTGT